CCAATGGACATGTACTTTTCGCTCAATTCGGCGTTAAAGCAACGTAATTTCGTCCAATGTGATTTAACATTCTTTCGTATAGGGAAAGAGAGAGAGTTGGTAACTCAATTTGTCGACTCGATTTTTAATGAAGGCAAGAGGCGAATAAACCTGTGTTACCCGGAATGCAAGAAAATAAAAATCAGCTCTCCGACACTCGATAAAAAAAAAGTCCATTTTCCATTTCGCGCCTTCGACGAGAGTTGTGGCACTCGAATGAATAATATCCCAACCAATCGATAATGTATTCCAAAATTCCAGGGTACCCGAGTCTAAAATATTCGGATTTCTGTCTAAAGTGAGCGTGGAAAAAAAAAAAAAAAACAATCGTACAGGTATTTGCGGCGATCGATCCGTCCACCCCGATAGAACGACATTTTGATCGGCGGGCTGTCTTTGTTCCTCGTGCGAAATAAAAATGCAAGAGAAAAAGAGACGAGTGTTACGTCGACGTATACGTATAATATATAATTGTCGGAAATGCAAAAAATAGAAACGTGCCTCCGCAATGTCAAAAATATGTTACCGCTCGCGTGTGATACTGTGGCGTCCTTCTCGTCTTTTTTTTCTTATTTTCTTCTCGTGTCTCGGAGTACTTAAAATTTCTCCTTCCATCGTCTATTTTTGGATTTTCGATTCCGAATGAGTTTTTTTTTTTTTTTTTTTTCTTCTTTCTCTTTCACAGTATGTAATAACGCGCCCTTGAGTTATCAGATGAGCGTACAAAGTATACTTAGTTACCAGACACGGTGTAGGCAAACAGTACAACTTAAATATAATCCATCGATAAATATAGAATTCCATCGTCTACTGTATGTATTTATAAAATAGTATGTTTCATAATTTGTTATTATTTATTATTATTAGGTTATACACGAGATTGTATTGGAATACTTTTGTTAACAGTTGTGTTTTCAAANTTTTTTTTCTTCTTTCTCTTTCAATTTCCACGAAAGGGTGCTTTGGATCGAAGAGTCAATTTGTTGTTACTTTGGGCGGAGTACAGTGCACGCGGCGCTCGGAAGGCGAGAGGAAACTTCGATAGCTCGGAAAATTGAGTTTTGATGCATCGATTGTCGAAAGTTCCTTGTGCCTCGCATTGCACCGTGAGTATACCTATACGTACACCCAAGGACAGAAGCAGCTCCGCTTTCGCAGTCAATAACAAGCATTATGCATACCGCTGGATTACCATCGTCCCAAATTTGTTTGCCCGACGCTCACGATGCACTTGACGAATTATCGTTCGAGGCCCGCTAATTAAACAAGAGCCCCGGGAGCTGCGGCGTGTGCAACGTATACACCATCACGCGGGAGGAGAAAGTGTACTTTATGTTTTTTCATTGGGCGATTGTTTTATTCGATTTTGTCGGGAAACAACCATTTCGTCGATACGAAAACAGCTCGATGATCGGGAGCCTCTAAGGTAGCAGTGAAGAATTAATTGTCACACCGCTCGTATTTATATCGAGTAACGAATCGTCAAAGACAAAAACATTCGAACGATGGTGTCTTTGTATTATTGAGAGAATTTTTTTTTTTTTTTTGATGATTCACAATTGTAAAAGGTAGAGAATTATTCACTTGTACGCGCACAATCTATTTTTTATAAAACGCCGATAGCATGATGTCACGTACACGTATTTTTTTTTTTATAATCTTTAAATATTTATTCGAATGCTTGCTCATCGAGCTTTTTTCGTGTCGATAAAGTACTTCATTCGAAGCCTGATTTATTAGTGATGTGTGATTTAAAACATGTATACTTATGTAATTTTTTTTAAGGTGAAAATTCCTCGCTCGTCGGTCCCGTCATGGACATGAAAAGCAAATTGTGGCAACAGCCATTGCGATAAATCGAAAGACGAGACTCTTTACACGAACGTAAGCGTCACAGGTTAAAGGTTTAACCGCGTTACAGAGGGCTCGAGCGCGTGCTCGCGAATTCTATTTTAATAAACTCGCGCTGCTCAATAATCTAAAGCGCCTACACTTGCTCATTATTATTATTCGCGCTCGCGCTTCGATTGTATACGAATCGCTCGTTCCTCGATTGCTCCGATTTTCCGCGTCTGATTGCCGGCTGATTTCTTTTTTTCTTTTTCAATAGCCGATGAGTCAACTTTATTGTTGCGCATTACGACATAGTGTACCTTCGTGAAGAAACCGAGATGGGTATACAATCGGTGACCTGAGCTGCTATACGGAGACACAAACCGTTACGAGCCATTCGCGGCAAAAGTTTGCTTTTTTTTTTTTTCTTCGATAAACACACTTCTGCGTTCAGGTGACACTCGACGTATCACCCAATGGTCTCGCGTGGATAAACAAATAATAAACTCCCGACTGAGATATCATTCCACGGTCCCATACTCGACTTTATGACCTTTTTATTTTGTTTTTTTTCGTACACAAGCTCCCGCGTGTAGTTTTCTCACGGAGCAATTAAACCCGTGTCCGTGTTTTTTCGCTGAAAAATCATTCGCGCGCTCTAGTCGTGTAGCGGATTTCTCGAGCTAGCATAAAACGAAAAAAAAAAAAAAAAAAAAAAAAATTGCTCGTTACGCCAGACTGACACGTAATTGATGCGATTGGCGCTCGCTTTTTACACGATGCACTTGTAATATTCGCGTTTGTATAGCCTTGCCGTGTCGGGAAGCCTGCGCGTGCTTATCGTGTTCCATTGGTATATATAATCGAGGCTTTTTGTCACCTTGGCGGTATTATTGTTACGCCGTCGCTTTCTCTCTTATTCGTAATAATTGCACGCATGCAAATACATTCGTGTCGTGTAGTTATTGTCTGTTTTTTTTTTTTTTTTTTTCTTATAGGTAAAAACTATAATTTATATATTAACACTCCAAGAGAGCCATTGAAATCATATTTAAATGATTTTTCCTTTGGTATTTCGATAATGCAAACAAACTCGCGGTTCTCGGCGACGAAAATAAGTACAACCGGCCGCGGGAACGAACAATTGAACGCGCAAAAACCGTGTATTCGGAGTCCTCGTGCGGTGTTTTGTAAACTTCTCGAAATAGCCGTGGCAGCGGCCGGTGGCTGTTGATGCTGAAAACTGACCAGCTGATGAGGATAGAAAAAAAAAAAAAAAAAAAAATCGCCATAGGGATAATAAAGAAAAACACTCGCATACAGTTTGGAGCACTTGATCCCGCACTCGCGGGTGCTCTCTTATGCAAGAGATGGAGTTTCGACTTTATCGTATCTCCTCTTTTACGAGTCGGTACATTCTCACGCGCACTTGTCATTTTCATCTCTGCCAGACACGACCGGATGAACACTTGTATTGTAGTATACTTATGCACACACGGATATGATGTACGTACCATTACGAAACCGATGTGTACTTATATCGCCATACGTGCAACACTCGTGCGCGAGATGCGTTTTTCTTCTCTCTGGGCGCGTGTCATCGAGCGGTTATCGAGGGGGGAAAAACGCCGCAGTGCGGATTTTTTTATCGCCCGGCCGATGCAATTTTTTTTCGCCGAGTTGTGGTAATGGTCCTGGCCACTGCACACTCCTTTCCTTCTCCTCCGCTTCTTCTCTCTTGGGACACTCTCCCCAGGAGAAGGGGACGCGTGAATTGTTCGGCTATTTGGCTGGGCAGAGTTTAGTGTATACATATGCGCGATCGATAGTGTCCGCAGCTCGTATAGATATATATGTGTGTGGCTCGTGTCCGGCGCAGCTCGAGATTTTTCAGGGCGTGTACACCAGCTTGATTTTTGTTTCCCTCCTCGCGATGACCAAAGTGCACGAGTATATACGTAAAAGAGAACGGGATGCGATTTTTCGTCCCACGAATGTTTGTTTGCACGCCAAGAGTAAGAAAATGAGGGGGGAAACATATACACTTTCTTTTTTTTTTTTTTTTTTCAGAGCACAATAAAAATAAATTTCGTTCTTTACGCGGAGGTGCCTCTTTTCGTTGTGCACGGCAAGTATATTGTACTCGTGAAACGGACTTGTGCTCCGTTGAATGTACAGTTGATTTTTGAATCGTAAATCTAGCTCTGCCTTATTCTTTCCGAAAATCATAAATTTGTAGATTTATTATTTTTTTTTTTAAGAATATTCCTTCACGAGTATGTACTCCTTTTTTTATTTCTTCGTGTGTATTTTTGATGCTTAATATACAACATATAGGGATTTGAAAACAGAAAATTCAAGCTTACGCTTTTATATAGTAGACAAAATATTATAGGATGATTGATAGTATAAGTATTTTTTTTTTTTTTTTCCGAAAAAAAACAAAAAAAAAAAAAAATTAAAATTTTGTAGGTGTAAAAAAAAAAGGTTTCAAATAAAAGTAAAAGTATAAAAAAATACCCTCTGGTTCCCAAAACGTCGTAATGTTGTAATGAAACGCTCGTAAATTTTTATACTCGTCCAAAGTGTTACAAATATCAAGAGCAAACAAAAACACGATAAGCGTAGAATTTCACGCAAAACACACGCGCGCGCGCGCGCGTCACGAAAGAATTATTAGATAAAAACTCGAGCGAGTGAAACGTCACCCGCGTTCGCGTACATACACACGCCCTGCGTGTGCACCTTGAATTACATAAACATGTGTGTATATGTATATGTATATATGGTGTCCTAATGAAGTGGCGTTGCAGCTCTAACTAACGCTGAATTTAAAGCACCGCTGCAACGAACAAGGTAGCAAATTACAACTCGTTGCCGTAAGTACGTGCATTGCGTCATCTCTTAACAATACACGCAAATATATTAAAAAAGGAAAAACAATCGAGCGCGTCTCGAGGAGTAAAAAAACCACCGAGTGATCGGTTACCCGACTCGCGTTACAACCAGTCCGCCTTCGATGTGACCCAACAACCAATTGTTACCCCTCATCCACGAAAACACTCATTTAATTTTTCAACTCAACAATGATGATTACGGTGGTAATGACGCTTCGTTCGTTCCCTTAGGCTGACCAATTGACGGAAGAACAGATCGCCGAGTTCAAGGAGGCGTTCTCGCTGTTCGACAAGGACGGCGACGGCACCATCACCACCAAGGAATTGGGCACGGTCATGCGCTCCTTGGGACAGAACCCCACAGAGGCCGAGCTCCAGGACATGATCAACGAGGTCGACGCCGACGGTACGTACACACCCTCCCCCCTCCGTTGATGCCTCCAGTAGGGGAAGGATACAGCCTTCGGGCCTGGAATTTCGTATTATCTTCAAAAGCGACGTCTCGATAAGCCCCGGGATCTCCTTTGATATTGTATATACATGTACACCTGCAGGCGCACACCGGCTACAGTACAGTAGTAGTAATAATAATAATGCACGCGAGTCCAGGGCGTATCAATATTATCTTATCTTTGTCGAGCGCGCTTTGGTGGAAAATCGATCGCGTCTCTTTGCCCTGCATATATAATATATTGTATACGTTAAGCCGATCGCCGACAGATAACCGCGATGTATGATAACTTGCCTGGCGATGTGTTGTGTTTCACGGTGCAAATCGATATGTACTTCTTAAACCCCGCGATGAAGCAAGGTTTCCTTCGTCGGTCTCGTTGTACTCTTCGCACGGTCATTATACAGGTGCTCTTCCTCCTATTCAGCGGTGGATGAATGTACATATATGTATGTTTATGTTGATGTTTTTCTCCCGGGCAGGCAACGGCACAATCGACTTCCCCGAGTTCTTGACAATGATGGCGCGTAAGATGAAGGACACGGACAGCGAGGAGGAGATCAGGGAGGCCTTCAGGGTGTTCGACAAGGACGGCAATGGCTTCATATCGGCGGCCGAGCTGAGACACGTCATGACAAACCTGGGTGAGAAGCTCACCGACGAGGAGGTCGACGAAATGATCCGGGAGGCGGACATCGACGGCGACGGCCAGGTTAATTACGAAGGTGAGCCCCTCCCCTCCCCTTTCCGGTTGCCTTTTTTTTTCCTCGCTAGTTGTTACGTGAAAATTGGTATTTCGCATTGCTATCGGGGGATAAATTTTTGCAGTATTTTTATCGTGCATGCGCGACGATGAGTGAGTTTATTTGATGACTAATGCCCCGCGTTGCCTCGGGCTCTTTTATCTGTTTCAGAATTCGTCACAATGATGACATCAAAGTGAATCAACTAATGTGCTTGGGATAACTCGCGACTAAGAGTAGTGTTGAGGTACTAAAATAATTGTCAAGAGGAAAGAAAAAGAAAGAAAAAAAAAAAAAAANAGTCGAATAATTTTACGTTATTTGCGTAGAAGCGATTATAAAATAATTGTTGAAGTTACACTGTACGTCGACAGAGACAGGAGGCGCTAGCGTGAGGCATTGGGTGTATATATATATATATATGGTGTTTGAATGGGTGTCCATTCAGCGTCCTTAAGCTGAATCCAATTGCGGGCTGTAATTTATCTTTCCCCGTTGAAAAAAAATTCCAAAACTGTCGTCGTTCCTTGTAACCCCCGGGCGAACAGAAGGAATCCAAAGAATCGCTCGGTGCACCCATCTGCCGGCTCCTAGGCGACGAGCGTTCTCGCACCTTGAAAGGCCATCTCTCTCTCCTCCATCCTTACAACAAAAAAAAAAAAAAAAAAAAAAACTTTACATTTCCGCTTTCCTTTTTCTGAACTTTGCTCACCCGATTTCCATTACGCTTTTTCCTCGGTAAATTCCTTTTTAACGGAGTATCATTGTTCAATGAATAATTAAAAATCAGACGAAAGAACAGAGGAAAGCAAAGGGAACGGGCGTGTTAAGTGAAATCGTAATATTATACTGAGAAAAAAAAAACAAACAAACAAAAAAGTGAATATAGTCTAGTAGATTTTTCTTCACGTTTCTTTGAATAAAGTTTGATGCGCTTCTCAGCCAAAGGTTGACTAGGCGTCACTGCTAATGAAGGTTTGACAAATCGAAGTCTTGAACGGAATAAATGCATTGAAACACACTGGTTGTGTATATATGTACATGTATACACAATGAAAGTCATTTTTGTGTGCCGTGATTCATCAAATTTTGTTCAAAGGCAGTGTAATTTTTTAAATAAAATATAATGCATATTGAAATAAATTAGGATTAAGTCCTCCCATTACTGTTATTGCTATACATATCGAGCTTTCCGAGAACCTCTTTTCTCTTTTACTTCACCTCATGCTGGTAAACGAGGATTAAAGGAAAATCACATCACTTATCTATATATTTGTGACAACAGTTTAATAAATTTAATCGTTGAACAAAATTATTCAACTTAACGTTAATGAGAAAAATGCACTCGTAAAGAACCTTTTAGTTTTATTGTGTATCATTCATTGGTTTAACAGTCAATAAAAATAAATGTTTAAGTTTTTTAAATATGCCTATCACGTCCGATTTACTTATCTAAATTTACATTTATAATATTGTAATAATGGTGACATAAGATCTCTCTCGAATAACAATACAAACATTAAACAAAACACACCAAAAAAAAAACAAAAAATACTGGGTACTTAAAGAGAAATTGAATTTATCTTGAAACGGATTCGCTCGATATTTCATAACGATATCCTAAAGTAAAGTGTGTAGTGTCTGGTAATTTAATTTATATAAATAAATCACGCTGAGAAATGTAAAAAAAAAAAAAAAACCTTTAAGTGTATCGTATCGACGAACTATTAAAAAGTTCTAAAGTGACGAGTAACAGTGCAAAAAGCCTGAAGGAGTTTGATAGAGCTACAAATTTACATTTGAACAAGATGAAGAATAACAATGAAACTTTTGTGCTACAACTAAAAGTGACGCACTTTCAAGCATATGAATTATGATGATGCATGAAGAACATCGAAAAGTCAAAACTTCATCCTTTTTTTACTCTTGGATCTCGACTTTTTTTTTTTTTTTTTTTTTTTTTTTTTTTTTTTTTTTTTTTTTTTAAAAAAAAAAAAAAAAAAAAAAAAAAAAAAAAAAAAAAACGGAGCAAAGCAGCAGAGGTAAAAAAAAATACCAATAATAATGATAACGTCGACATCATTTTTCGTAAAAAATAATAATAAAAAATAACAAACGAGAAAATTCATGAAATGACAGATTGTAAAAGAACGAACAAGGATAGAAAGAAAGATTGCGTGTGAACGAACGAGAGAGAGAGAAAGTGTGTGCAAGGAAAAAAAGGAAAGTAAACAAGAGAATAAGACATTAACATAAACAAAAGAAATTGAAAAAAAAGATGACCCTGAAGAATAATTTTAGGTCGGTGCATTTCCTAGGTATGCCAGGTATACTAATGATATGGCAAGATTATTAGTAGATTGATTAACTTATTTATGGAGAAAAGAAAAAAACGATCAAGCTGATGACTTTTTTTTTAAAGACTTGTTGCGTGCAGTGCAATTTTTACGCCTTACCGTCTCACACATAGTAACCACACACACACATGAAACCTCAACCCTCTCTTCCCTCCCTTTTCATCACTTCTTTTTTACGGGTGAGAGGCGATAACGCGTTGTTTACTTGAAAAGAAAATTATAATTGCGACACGTAGAGAAACATGATGAGAAAATATTGATCAAGATCATTTAATAAATGAATCCACATGAGAGCCCATCATTAAGTCGATGGTTCAGTCGTAATATATATATGTAATATATATTATACACGACAAAATTTAACTAAAATAAAGAGGAATTCCTTTGTAGTTCTTTATTATTATAACTTATGATTAATTATTACTTATTTTTAAGGTTATTATTTAAAACGGAAAAAATAAATAAATAAAACGAAAGAGAGAGAGAGAGAGAGTATGGTTTGATGGGATTTACAATGATTATGATGAATTGATATGCTGGTGGTAATGACGAACGGATGACGATTGTGGCGGTAATTATGATACAAACTATGGTGATGATATTGAAGGGAAATGAAAATAATTTTAAAAAAGTGAAACGAGATGGTATACTTGTATTTCTGGTGACCTAGATTGCATTGATCATTTGACAAACATGCAAACAAAACAAAAAATATATGGAAGAAGAGAGACGAAAATCAAGTGAAAAAGAAGATTTTATGGGGGTTATTGAAAGAAAATAATAATAATAACAATAAAAGAAAAATAATAAATGTATCGTCATTTTTAGGTCACAAGGACACAATGTTGTTTCTTTCCTTGGCTAATGCTCCTTTATATACTACTCTTAATCAATATATTTCGGCGATTATCGAATAATTATGTATGGCGAATGATTAAATCTTTCAATAAAGCACATGGCACTCTATCGATGGAAACTGGAAAATAAAAGCAGATAAAACAACAGTTAACGATGATAACGAAGTAGGAAAAGAGAGAAAGAAAATTTTGAGCACGTAAAATTATAAAAATGAAATAAAATACAGTCGTCAAACGATCTTCAAGCCGCGGTTCGATCGCACCCCTCTTGTGTACACTGATTTACCAAATTATTATTTTTACTCCATCATTATCATTGTTATTACGCAACTTTGTTTTTTGTTTTGTTTTATTGTTTTTTTTTTTTCTTTGACTGCCAAAATAATTGTAGTGATCTGAATGAGACGTATATATATATATATAGCCGTGTCGG